CGTGATCTGTAGTCTTTGAGGGTCGACGTGTTCAAATGAATGCTAAAACTCAGTGAAGAAGGATTCGGCCAGATTTTTGAAAATTTCTGTTAATATTATTTTTGAATCTCTACGGTACGGACCATTTTTATGAATTATGTTTCTCAACTCACAGTTTCTACAAAGCTCGGTTAGTCACGCTGGGGTAGTTTGTAGAACACTCCTGGTGGCTGAAGGTCTGTTTTTTTGTTAATTTTTTGTCCGATGTAAAGAGGGATTAAAGTAAATTAGATCAAATACGTTGACTAGTGCTCATTTTTGCGGATCCAGTTACTTAGTATTTCAGTGGAATCGTACCGTCAAGATTTTTGATGTTTTCCATAAGCATACTCAGCTAAAAAGTGAGCATCTCAAGTGTGGATCTGGATCGTCAAGTGTAGTCTGCAAGTACACCTGTATTCCACTTTTGGGGTGAATGGCTGCACAGCGTTTGCGGTAATTAACTGATCTAACTGAAAAGACAACCTGAGCTAAAGCACCGGCGCTTGATTACCTCAGGACTATAATTATTCCTTTGAAGTCATCATGCAATCCGATAAATAAATGTGCATGGTGGGTGATCTGTAGAGGGTAGATAGGACATAACACTATAAAGACAACTGTTTAGATAAAAGCAGAGCCACCGGTATTCGATGGCTGGATGAGACTTGAAACAACGGACAACTGTTTGCGGATTCCGGGTGGCGGTCATCCAAATATGACAATGCTGCCAACTTACACGATGATATTGAGTTGCGTACGCTATAATCGGGTGTACTATCTCCCCTTTTGCATATCGAAATAGGAATTCCAAGCTGCTACCTCTACTGTAAAACGGCTTTTAACAGACGGTTTAAAGACCGGAGGACGACTCAAATTGTTGTGGTTGAGTGGAAACTATAAGCAGGCCCGCATGGATTAGGCTGTGCGGCAGTGGTGTTCTCCTTGTCGAAGGCCATTCAAACCGATGGTTCATGAGTTCAACCGAAAATTGAAGGATGAGTCCAGTTTTGGAGAACGAAGGGAGGACGATTGTGACGAAATGAATATTACGACTGTAAAAGAGTATGGCGTTTCCATTGTTGTTTTGGCGGTTGTCTAAATCTCAGAAAAGAGTTATCTTGGTAATGCTTTACGTTATAGAGATACTGCGACTGAAAAAACTGCCAATATTATCAAACTTGACAAAACCGATTTTCCAGGATGGAAATGAACAAGCTATTCTACGCGTCACCGCTCAGGATTTCAAAGGCTCTCATAGCGTTAGATGCCTTCCACAGTCGGCGAAATGTGCAAATCATGATTCAATAGAGCACCTCTAGAGACACCTTACACGAATGATCCCCAGAACATCGAAACTGCAAACATATACTCAAATCAGATTCGCTCACCCGATGCCCTTAATATGATAAAACAGGATAAACTCGCAAGTCTCATTGACAGTCTGTGGGTATATGTTAGGACTCTAATCCTCATGAGAGTACGTAAGTCCGAAGTTTAAGAATAAGTTGAATTCCTATCCTGGTCTGTAGCTAACTTCCTTTTAAGTGAATCGAGAAAAGTAGGGCATTGAAACGATTTTCAATGAACTAGCATGGCTTGCTTGGAAACATGTTTTTCCTGTTAGCGGCGAATATTACCTAAAATTGGTTAAGTTGATGTAGAAATCCAATAGAAATTTGTGTTCAAGATGAGTTGGGCATCTCAGATTACCTTCCTTGCGCAATTGTCCCTGTTTCCTGAATTCGTGTTTCAGGATCTGTTTCGGTTAATTCTCTCTTTTCCTTATCCGCCCTTTACTTTCCTCCGTTATTCAGTTGAGCACCTTTTTAAGGTTTATTGGTTTCTATGCTTAGTAGTCGTCCATCGTTCTGGTGGAGGTATCGGCGGGTATCCTACAACGACAACGAATGTTCTCAACAGAACCCGTCCATGCAACCTCGGAACGGTCGGTTTTATTAAATTAAAGGTAACTCTTGAAGTATTTTCGTGCATTTTCCACTTCTTCCGGCAGTAAAATTTTATTTCCACTAGAACAAGATATTATTGCCGTATCTTAATGAATGACCTAAACTTTTTCCTCCGCCTTAATTCAAAGGAGATAGAGACGAATCTGCTTTTACTCATATGGTTTTGTCACTGTTAAGCAGTTCAAATGCTGGAACAGCCATTAATTCCTAGTCATATTTAATTCCATCTGATCGCAGATATGTCTGGGATCTGTGTATGCCATCAGGACCTACTTTAGACATTATGCATGGTTCAACTGAGGAAGTAGCAATTTTTATCTGTCTTTATGGTGTTTTAGGGGTACACACAACACGACGGGCATAGGGACGGGAACTTGCCCAGTAGTCAGTGTATAGTGATAGTAGGCTTGCGCGCGACCACCGCACTCTGTCCTCCCTCACCCTTCTGCGCGCGGTGTTTGGACGGGGTCGTGAAGACCCCGGGGGGCGGGATCGGGCGCAGTGGCTGACAAAGATAGACAGTTCGTCGGCGCATGCCACACGGCGTCTGGCTCGCGCGCGCTCAAAGGACCGGTTTTTCGCACAAGCAAAAAGGGACGCCTTGGATCCCAGCGGAGTGGGAATGTCGCAGAGGCCACAATAAGAAGGCGCTATTTGCAGCCTGAGAGGAGGACCGAATTATCCTGTTAGTTGGCAACCTTCCGAGCTATGGCGTTTGGGGCCCTGTGGTGGATTCAAGCGTGTTAGACTGTTCATAGGGAAGGATGTGCGCTCTGTGTCGTGTGGACGCAGGCCCAGAGTCGACCTCAGTCTCTGTTCCCCTCCCAGCCGCTTATTCACTTAATGTTATGGAGAACAGGCAAACCTGTCCTCTCTATTAGGTGATATTTACTTCTACCTTATGGGAGTATTCTTTCGTCCACTTCTTTCCATCAGGCCTTACAGGCTTAAGTAGCCCACGCCCAAACTGCGTCGAGTCGCTGTTAAAGTAGTAATATCTGGAGCTGTTTTGTGGATCATTTTCTTCTAACTGAGCTTATTTAGAAGCCTTTCTTGTCGGCAGTTATAATGTTTCCTCTTGCGCATCCATCGTTAGCAGGACTGGTGTGTCCTCAAGGAATGACTTGCCAAAACGAATAATCTCTTCGTCCAACATAAAAAAAATATTTCCGTTCAATTTATCACCTTCCCCTTTCCCTTCTTCTTCTTATCCTCCTTCTCCACTTCCAGCCCTGCACACAAACATTTCCTACTGTGTAATCCGTTTGAAAAGGAACGCCCTCGTAGTACACACGACCGCGTAGGTCGCCTTCATAAACTCGTCCAAAGCTAAAAATTCACTATAGATCCAGACAGTCCTCAGAATGGTTTGTAATCAATGTATGCCCTGGCAAATAAAAACGTCCACTAACCAGTTTCCTACGCAAAAATGACTTTGTCACGACGTTCTACAGGTGAAGGTTAAATCCCTTCATCCCCTTCTGCTTTATGCTCAGAGGGGACATTAAGAAATGTTCTCTTCGATTCATCTTAACGTGCTTATGCAAATACTGTTCAATGTTCAATAAATAACAGCCATTTCGTTTACTTGTTGGTCAGTATGGTCCACCTTACTTATTCCTGGATACTGTCCGATCGTTAATAATTTGCCACGGACTGCGAACGATTCACATGTCAGCCCTTCGGTTGTTATTTTCCGTATTTGTTCAGCGTCGACGGCAGACAGGACTTGTCTCCTCACGAGGCAGAAAAGACTGGAAACCAGTCACAAATCCTCCATCCTCTACGCTTTGTAATTCACAGTATTGAAAAAATAGGCTTTCGTCGACTAGCCCTTTTGCTGTCTCTCATGACAGAAATTCACAAATCAAAGTTTTTTAGTCGATTTTGCACCTTATTTTTTTCTGATGAAAGAATGCATCTTCCATGCCTGCGTTCATTCCATTTTCACGGGTGGAAACCCGATATTCTGGTCCCAGATATCATTTGGTGTCTAAGTTTCCCGCTTGTTCTGATGCCATTTCACACCACAACAAGTGCCAACAGGCGACCTTGGTTTTCAGGAGACTACTCATGCGGCAACTATGCGATGTTATTTGCCAAGTCCTGTTTAACCGGCGAAAGGGCGTATCAGAAAACAGGCACTTCTCATATATGCTAGGACTGTGTCATGCGGAGTGGAGGGCCAGCAGGTGTTTGGCACGCCTCAGACGCAGGCTTTCATGCCATGATGGCGACTGCGTCCAGCGTCTTCAGTTGGCTGAAAGATGCAGACATGCCATTGGTGCATTGGGGAGGGGCAGAGGGGAGGAAGAGGCGGGAAAGCGGATACGAGGGTTCGACCGTCGTTGCCGACGATTTCCACCAGGTGCTTCACAGCGAGATGAAGCAGGCACGCTGACTTGCGTCCGATTTAGTTTGTAGTGAATATGGACTTTCGATGCATCCACCGCACTCTCTCCCCCCCCCCCCCCACCAGAGTCCTGTGTCAAGACCAAGTCAAGTATACCGGAGGTTGGAGAGGGTGCAAGTGGCCGGCGCGGCTGGAACCGCCCCAGACGTGCCGCCACGCCCGGCTCGGATCCAACGGAGTGGGAGTATCATAAAGGCCACTTTAAGAAAGAGCACTTGCAGCCTTGCTCTCAGACCACTAGTCTACCACTCCACACAAACACGCACTGGGCCGATTGCGAGGTCCAAGTTATCCCGTCAGTTGGCAACCTTCCAGGCCACAGCTTTTCGCGCACCGTGATAGCTTCAAGCGCGTCAGATTGTCTGTCGTGAGGAAAATGCGTTTAGCCGTGGACCTCACTTTCCCTTCTCATTCCCAGGCCCCTGCCACTGTCCGAGCCGGTCAGTTGACAGGTGCGGGGAATAGGCGCGGAGGCTGACATATCTAGTGACCTTGTCTGTGCGCGCTACATGCACAACCTGGCCTCCCAAATACAAGCACCAGGATTTCACACAACGGGGGATGGGCGGCATACATCTCACATGCGTGATTGTCAGAGGTCACTGTAAGAAGTAGCAGTAACAGCCTGTCTCCGCCACTCCATAGAAACACATACAACTGGGCAGACTGCTTGGACTGCGATGGGGCGTCAGGCGGCAGCCTTCCAACCCACGGCGCTTGGCGCACCGTGACAGTCTCAAACTCAGATCACACACGCAGCAGAGGAGCTGCATGGAGGAGGGGCCGAGACGCACACTTCCCACTTGCGCGGAAGGTGGCAACTGGGTGCTGGTGGTGGGTGATGTTGCTGTGTGGTGCGGGGTGTTGGTGGGGGGAAACGTGATGGTGTGGCGTAGCCGATGGTTGTCTACCGCAGGTTTTCGTGAATGCGCATGTGTCCTAATAGGCCGGTGCGACGAGCGAATGTGCGGGGACAGCGGAGGCGAATGTAGCGAATGAAGGTTGGTGTTCCAGGCATTAGTTTCCCAGTCTCTGTACGATGAATTCGCAAATGACCGACCAGGTCGATTTTTGAGGTGAATGTGCGAGGACAGTACAGGCAGGATAGATCGGCAATGTCGGAGTCGGTGTCGGCGATAGTAGTGCCAGTGGTGCGCGCTGGGCGATGGGGTGTGGATTGGGCTAGGTATGGAGGATTGGCAGGATGTGCTAGGTAATTCGAGACTGCGGTGAATTCCGTACTCGTGGTTACGCATGTAGCCTAGAAGGCCCATGCGTTGAGTGAGTATGCAGGGGCAGTGTGGACAGTGGAAGCGAATGCGGCGAGCGCAGTTTGATGTTCCAGGCACTAGTTCGCCCGTCTCTACGCAATGGATTCGCATGTGACCGGCCAGGCTGATGTGTGAGGTCAAGGTGCGGTCCCAATGGGGACAGGTTTGGGCCGAGTCCGCATCGCTAGTGTTGACGGTGGTGAGGTTGATGTTTGACGGTGCGTCAGGATTGTGTGCAGTGGGGGTGGTGGTGGCAGTGGCGACCGCCGCAGATTTCGAGGCGATGGAGGATAGCGAGACAGAATTTGTCTTCATGACAAATGGGCGCATTCCTCACTAAAACAGAGTTGGTAAATGTACTACCAATTATGGTTTGGATGGTTACCAACTGAGGGGTTGACTCCGTCCCATTCAGAAGGGAGGGTTAGGCTGCAACGGCTTCTTCTTTGCCTCCTTTGGCATTCCCCATTATGTTATATCATGGACCCGAAACAGATGCAGTCCAAAAAGTCAGGGCGGTACATCCACAAGACTATTTTGCCTCAAATAGCTGTACGTCCGCGCCAACTTACGTAGTTAAATTATGGTAGGCAGTTACGAACGGCACACGAATTTGGTAATCCTGGAGCCTGCAATATATCTGCATTTGGAAGACCAGTTGGCGAGCAGGCGTTTGCTTTCGATAAATTCTCGCCAGGCTGGTGCAGTTATATGGGAACGAGGTAGAAGCAAAAACGTGTCAGTGATAGGAGAAATTGATTAAAGTTCGTCTTAGAACACAGGTGGTGTGTGCTAATGTGGGGAGTGGGGTGGGGGTTATAGCAGTCAGTGCCAGGGATGGGGTGAAAGCGGAAGGGCGCGGCGAGTTGCAGCGTAAGTCGACCTTCGACCACGGTAGATGCGGATCCTGAACGTAGTTCTTCTATGCACACAAGACTAATTTTCGTAACCTGATGTGACAGCTTCTGCTGAACCAGTAGTTTACGGCAGCTCGATGAGACCTTATAAATCACGCAAAAAGATTCGGCAGGATGATATTACCGATAGAAACAAGGGAGACTGGAATGGCCATTTCTGGCTTATTAGCCGTCGTCAACCAGTCATACCCAGCCCCGAAGTGTGGCACACCCGAGGCAGTCAGAGGCGTGGACTTCTAACAAATGGGTCGCGAGTTCGAGCCTCGGATGTGCCACACTTCGGAATTGGGTATGACTGGCTGACGACGGCCAATAAGCCAGAAATGGGCATTCCAGTCTCCCTTGTCTTTGTCGGCAATATCATTCTGCCTATATCATGCGCCGCTGTGCGGCTGCTAATTGGGCTCGAGAGAGAGAGAGAGAGAGAGAGAGAGAGAGAGAGAGAGAGTCCATAAGGCACAACGGAACGAGTGATTTCCGTAGGAACCATCGGTGAGCACCCCCTACCATTGTAGATTCGGCATGGCTCACACGGTGCCGGAATCAACAACATGCGTGTGAATGGCGCTGTTTATGTTCCTAGTTTGGTCTTTTTCCAGTCAAGCCGGGAGGCATTCTCGTATTCTCTTGGATAGGAGCCGATTTGTGCGACCAATATGTCCTCCTCTATGGGAGTAAGTAAAGGGGTAAATGCACATTGATGTGGTCTGAGTTAGCAACCTACCCTTACCTTCCCGCATAAAATAGGAGTAGTAGAGAATAGGATTCGAACCTTTGCTGCTTGGAAGGTTCGTGAGATAACTTGGCCAAGTATTCTTCTTAGGAGTTCACTCGTAGCGTCTCCTTGAAAAGAGACTTTGAGAGAGGGTTTTCGGCAGTCAGTGCGGCTGGCTTTTCCGGTCACTCAGCAATATTCTTTGCGATGCTCTTCTCAGGATATCCGTTTTCGCGAAGCAAGACCTGGATCTTTCCAAGCCTCTCATCGATGTTATCCGCAGAAAAAAAATTTCCAGCCTTTTGCGCTAAACAATGGGCTCAATTTTGTTTTTTTTGGAGGGGTACGAAATTGCCAAAGTTCGTGTATTGTCCAGACAAGGTTTTCTTCGGATAGAGGCTCCTTTGGACGCTCCTGTCAGGTCTCCTGTTTAGAAGGACTTCTAGGTAAGAGAGCGAACCAGTTGTTTCCATCTTCAATATGAATTTGATATGCGGCTAGGCCTGATTTATCGCGTTTAAAAGGGCAGCTATGTCGGTTTCTGTGATGTCTACTGCAAAGACGTCATCAACATATCGACTGTAATGTTTAAGCTTATCGATCTGATCGCTTAGTTGTAATGTCTCCATCTTGCCCATGAAGACGTGGGCAAGGAGAGGCCCAAGAGGCGAGCCCATAGCAACCCAGTCTATTTGTCTATAGAGTTGGTTGTCAAAAAGGAACTGCACATTTAATGTGCATTGTAGTAATGGTTCCTCGAGTATGTTCATCAGAATCCCTGTTCCCTGATGATTGGTTAAGAAGAATTCGCCTATGTAATCAACTGCCTCGGTAACTGAAACGTTTGTAAGTAATAAAACGTCTACACAGAACATCCTCGTGTCGGTAAAGTTGAAATCCTTGACGTCGTCAATGAAGATTTTCAAGATCTCGCCGGATGAAAATTACGTCTGAGTAGCTTTGAAGGCTGCAAGCTATCGCAGAAAGTATTTCATGAACACGAAATAACCGCCCGCAGTCAGTTTTCACTTTTATAGGTCGATGTTGCCTAATTTTCCATGATTTCCGATACATTCGGATTTTCACGCACTACAAACTACTCAAGTTCTATGATATTATTTCGAATGTCCTTGTATTCTTAGCCATGCAGCGACGGTGGACTTGTCCAGTTAGGAGTTTTGATTTACTTCCATCAATCCGGGGCAATTACATATGCCGGAAAATAAGTCAAAATTTGCCAGCACTAGGTAGTGAACGTAGAGTTGGAAAAAACATTCCAGCCACTTGATCGTACCTTTGCAGGCAGAGCTTAGGCAAGATTGTCCTTAGTTTCTTGTGGACTCTTCCCGATTTCGACCCTTCTGAGTAATACCCGACTGTTGGTAGAAGCAGACAGGCGAGTTTCAGGTAGCAGTTCAGAAGACGAAGATGCGATCACAGGAGCATTAAATTTATTGGCCTGACGTTTCGGATCCTCACTCGAACCCATCATCAGAGACAGTCACAGATAAGGGTAATGGTGGCACAAGGAGTGCAGTATACATAGCACGTGGCTGCGGTGGGACTATATGCGTACTGTGATTACCAGCTCTCGTAATCACCACTGGGGTCGTAATTGATGCGAGGGTGACTTGTCAGTCCGCGTCCGAGTCATTAATGGCCACGATTTCGGCATCCGTTTTGGATGCTGGTGTGGCGATTGCTCGGCAAATTGGCTCATCGTCACGGGGCTAATTGCTCGCCCGCGCCCTCCCCACGTGACTGATCCCCCCGCCCAGGGAAAATCTTGGCACGGAATACGGTAACGGGAGGTCATTGTGCTTGTTGATGGATTGCGGACCTGAGAACCATGACTTGAGCAGCTCACGGCTCACGCGGTTATCACCCCCTGCGAGGATTTCGGTCTCTTGAAACTTGAAAATATGGCCGGATCCTGTCAAATGAGCCATCACCTGAGAGCTAGCGTCTCCCCACCTAACTGCTTCTGTGTGCTCGGCAATTCGCGTACGGAGTAGTCTCCCAGTTTCTCCGACATAGTTGCTTTGTCGGCAACTGCATCAAATCCGGTAAACGATTCCTGACGTATCCTGTCGTGGCAGTGAGTCTTTCGGCCTCATGATTTGGGGCCTAATAGTTGCTTCCGGCCTGTGTGCAACCCCAACTCTAAGTGGAGTGAGAAGACGACCAACGGCTTCCGATATGTTCTTCACGTACGGAAGAGCCCGCCAAAATTTGGGGCCGGTTGGATTTGGTCTCTGGTGTCGTTTGCGTATGCACTGGCTGACAAAGTTGCGCGGGTAGCCATTGGCTCTCATTACCCGTCGAAGATATTGTAATTCAGCAACTTTGTTTTCAATTTCACTGCAGTGCGTCTCAACGCGCCGCTATAACGTCCTTACGCAACTGCGTTTGTGACTGATCGGGTGGTTGCTGTTGAAGTTCAGTATTTGCGTCGTATTTGTCGCTTTCCTGAACACTTTGGTTTTTAGGTCACCACAATCTTTGCGGCAGACGAGGACATGCAGGAAGGCCAACTGGTTGTTTCTTCCTTCTTCGTCGTAAATTGGATGTCCAGGAAGATGGCGTTGAGATGCTCTTTGAATGTTAGCACCTGATCTCGTTCGATGAAGACGAAATTATCATCCGCATACTGAGCCCAGAATTTCGGTCTGTGGTGTCGGAAAACCAGCGACTCCAACCGTTGTGGGACCGCCTCGGCTATGAGTCTCGAAATCGGCGAACCCATTGACGTGCCCTTCACCTACTCGTAGATTGTTCCGTCGAACGTAAAGTACGTCTTGCGACAGAAGTTCAGGAGCCGGATGATTTGGACGTATCCGAGGCGATTCTCCGTTTCTTCTTATTTCTCTCGCAGGAGTAGTTCGATGGTGTCGACTGCCAAGTCCTGCGGGATAGAAGTAAAAAGGGACGTGACATCAAAGGAAGGCATGACATAACTTGGCAGGAGACTTACTCCTTTAAGTTTCTCCGAGAATTGTGTTGACGATGTGACTGTAGTGTTCGAATCGGAGGTCAGAAACTTGAGACGTTGGAACAGCCACTTTGCCAGTCCGTATGTTGGGGTGTTCCTTAGTGATACGATAGGCCGGAGAGGAGCGCCCTCTTTGTGCACTTTCGGGAGACCACAGAATCGGGCCAGGCCCGTCAATTGGGGAGTGTGCGGGCGAGCGATTATTCCAGTGACAGTGAGCCAATTTGCCGAGCAATCGTCACACCAGCATCCAAAACGGATGCCGAAATCCTGGCCATTAATGACTCGGACGCGGACTGACAAGTCACCCTCGCATCAATTACGACCCCAGTGGTGATTACGAGAGCTGGTAATTACAGTACGCATATAGTCCCACCGCAGCCACGTGCAACAAATATTGCACTCCTTGTGCCACCATTACCCTTATCTGCGGCTGTCTCTGATGATGGGTTCGAGTGAGTATCCGAAACGCCAGGCCAATAAATTTATTGTTTCAGTGATCATATCTTCGTCTTCTAAGCTCGGACTATTCGGAGAGAGTTATGCTGTGTTTTAAAGGCGTGTGCTAGGCGGAATACCGTTGTATGCCGTAATGTATCAGTAAGGCCGACCATCACCTGCCGACTAACTTCACATCTAGCATGTTCTCAACATTAACCTATGCGGCTTAATCGGCTTATGAACTTGGCGTCGAGTAAAGTGCTTA